TTTCTTCTCGTTGGCTGAAGTCCCTCAACGCTCAATTCCCCCAAGCCAAGGCTGAAGTTCCCAGCGTTAGCTCAAATTTTTGGGGCCGGTTGGGCGTTAAAACTTCGCTCTTAACTGGGGTTGGGAGCACTTTAGGAATAACTTTTGCCAAAACTTTGATTGTAATTTTGGGCAGCTCCGCTCTTAACTTTGGAGGCCTGAGCGCTTCGTTGTTGGAGGCTGCTCTCTTGACTTCGGGGGCCTTAGCTCTCAAATTTCGGTGAACAAGCTCCTTTATTTGGAGATTGGTAGTGCACCTTTTTGAGTTTGAGTCTTGAGCAAGTTGTATGCCTTCTTGCCTGAAGAGCGTTTGGAACTGTGAGTTCTGAATCGCTCAACCGGGTCCTCTATATGATACATGGATTGTTGTATCATGCTGCTAGTTGCTGCTTCTCATTGAAGCCAGGATAGCAATTATCTTAGCACCTTTCTTCCAACTCCTGTTTGGCATTAGAATTGAAACAGAAATCGGTAGATTCCAGTATGGAAAGGCAAGCTGCTTGTTTTTTCTAAGTTGCCTATCAAAAGAATGTGAGAAAACCCATAGAAGCTCAGGAACATGCGACTTCTATTGGCTTTTAAGTTTTGAATTGCCACGCTTTAAGTTTAAGCCATGTCTTAATTAGAATTCAATGTAAACCGTGTTGAACTGGAATTAAGATAGGGTATCCTTGCCAAGTACAACTTCAAACAATCTAATAAGGAAAGACACGCCTGTTGTTCCTGTGATTAGCAATGTGTTGGAACATCAACGGGTATGTCGCGTCAGTGACTATCCCGTGGTGTTTGGCTCAAGTTCGGATCCGTCGCGACCTCGGATTAGCGTCGCCGGGCCCCCACGTCGATCACCCACGTGTCAGAGGAGAAAGAGACTTCGGCCCGGGGCTTGCAAAACAATCAGGATACGCGTGTTCGCCTTGGCCAGCTCCCCACCCGACCGCTCCCACCAGCGCTTTTGGAGGCATGGACAGGAATCCACTGCAAGGCACATCACAAAAAGGTTCAAAAGGGCAAATAAATGACCATGACCAGAAAGAAAAAAAACTGCTCATGCCTCAGCCCATTGCAGCCCAATTGGACGAGCTCAGCAACATGGGACCTTTTGTTGCACCGGGCCCGCATCCTACTGCGTTTGCGGCATTGTGTGGGGCCACAAAGCTTTGCAGCGCGAAAGCCTTATCAATACACTGTTTGCTTTCGCAGCCTAATGCCCACTATCGTTGTCCATGGCTTTTTGCATTTCCACAACCAAAAATGCTCCTGCAAAGGAAATCTTGGCGTCTTGTTTTGCACCGCCAAGGGCCGAGCATGGTAAGACTACCTGTTGGCAAGATTCACTGGCCTGACGGCTGTGTTTGACTCTCCTATTCTCAATATCATCACGCCACTGACATGACACATGCACTAGTCAGGCAAGTTCCTGGCCAAAGGCAAGGAACGTGGATGGTGACTGGGATTGGGTGGGAAAATGAGGGACGCTGAGCATTCGTAGTGGCTATTGCTCACGTCGGTGCGACGTCTCCGACACTCAGCCTCTGCTTGCGGCTCCTGAAACTGAAAGTTGCATGGGGTTCTTCGGTGTTGTCAAACCCCTTTTGCCGAAGGAGAAGGATGTGGGCCCTTGTCTTTTCCCATCTTTTCCTGCGTCAATCAAGTGGCCACAGCTGTTGAGGGATCTTGGGAGCAACAAAGACTTGGGTGGCGTCCTTCTCCGCAGGGGCATCCCCATTTTGCTCGCCTTCCTGCATCAGCTTCCAACGCATCACACACACACACATCCCAAATGGTCTCAACCAAAAGCATACACACACACACGATGCATCCTTCTTCTCTTTTGAGCCGGCCTCCGAGCATGTCGGTTATGCAAGGGTGGCTAGCCACATGAATTCTCAAGCATAAACTGAGATTGAGAACACGCACGCCTCCTCCACTCCATTCGCCTTGAGAAGCTCTGGAAGCTTCGGTGCCTCAAACTACATTTGAACAGGCCACGTAATTATCTGTAACCGCCTGCCAAAACTCACCACTGAGCGCCGACTGAGCGCGGTGCGTACTCCACGATACAGGAGCCGAGAACTACATGTTGCCCTCGCCTGAGGAAAATGGTCATCCAAAACTGTATAGAACACGATCTGCTTCATCCGCCCCCCGCAGACCTAGCTGCAATCAAGCTTCTCCAAAAGCTCGGCAGGGCTGACTGAGGAAGACTTCGGACCTTCCAAGCCCCTGGATTCCCCTTCCTCTCTACTCACACACCCATAGCATGATGACCGGAACCGATGTCAGCCTGCTGAAGCCGCAGCCTCCTCAGCTGCCCTCGCTTCCTTCTTGGCTGCGCGCTTCCTAAGTCGAACTCAACACCCGGAGGGGCCTACAGCGGGTAGGTTTTGACGTATATGTGTGTGTGCGTGTGTGTCGGTCATGCGCGCATGCTTGGGAAGACAAATGGACAAGAAGAGAGCCAGCAGGCAGACGAGTGGCGGTTAGGCAAGCGGGCGGACGAGTGGACGCAAGTGCACAGACAAGCGGCGTGCGAGCACACCCGTCGCACACACACTCGCAAAAGTCCAGTGCAGCAATACGGCATTTGTTTAAAGCCCTAGTCTTTGAAAAGAAGACGAGACTAGTAGTTGGCACCCAACAAAGGCCAAAAGAAGCCTGCTTCTGTGCGAATGGGACTGAGCGAGTGGACACGGGTGTGCAGAGCGCTTGTCCACTGGCACGCCCGAACCCGCGCGGCCCCTCATCCGCCCGCACTTGTCCGCTCGCACTCGTGCGCTTGTCCTCCCGCATGCACTCCTCCACGTCTGCCCAGGCTCGTCCACTCGCACTCTTTGCGCTCGTTCACACAGACAAAGCCACTCATCCCCCGCGTCTAGTTATTAATTTTCTCAAAATGTGCGTTTGTGTGCGGCTGTGTGCGGCTGTGTGCGGCTGTGTGTGCTTGTGTGCGCTTGTGTGGGTTTGTGTGCGGCTGTGTGCGCTTGTGTGCGATTGTGTGCGTTTTTGTACGTTTGTGTGCGTGTGTGTGTGTGTGTGCCTTTGTGTGTGTGTGTGTTCCTCTGTGTGTGTGTGTTCCTGTGTGTGTGTGTGTGCTCCTGTGTGTGTGTTCCTGTGTGCGTGTGCGTGTGTTCGTGTGTGTGTGTGCGTGTCCGTGTGCGTGTGCGTGTGCGTGTGTGTCTTGGTGTGTGTGTGTCTTGTGTCGTCTTGGTGTCTGTGGTGTCTTGGTGTCTTGGTGTCTTGGTGTCTTGGTGTCTTGGTGTCTTGGTGTCTTGGTGTCTTGGTGTCTTGGTGTCTTGGTGTCTTGGTGTCTTGGTGTGTTGGTGTGTTGGTGTGTTGGTGTGTTGGTGTGTTGGTGTGTTGGTGTGTTGGTGTGTTGGTGTGTGTGTTGGTGTGTTGTTGTTGTTGTTGTTGTTGTTGTTGTTGTTGTTGTTGTTGTTGTTGTTGTTGTTGTTGTTGTTGGTGTGTTGGTGTTGTTGGTGTTGTTGGTGTTGTTGTTGTTGGTGGTGGTGCTGCTGCTGCTGCTGCTGCTGTTGCTGCTGCTGCTGCTGCTGCTGTTGTTGTTGTTGTTGTTGTTGTGCTGTGCTGTGCTGTTGCTGTTGCTGTTGTGTTGCTGTTGCTGTTGCTGTGCTGTGCTGTTGCTGTTGCTGTTGCTGTTGCTGTTGCTGTTGCTGTTGCTGTTGCTGTTGCTGTGCTGTTGCTGCTTGCTGTTGCTGTTGCTGTTGCTGTTGCTGTTGCTGTTGCTGTTGCTGTTGCTGTTGCTGTTGCTGTTGCTGTTGCTGTTGCTGTTTCTGTTGCTGTTGCTGTTGCTGTTGCTGTTGCTGTTGCTGTTGCTGTTGCTGTTGCTGTTGCTGTTGCTGTTGCTGTTGCTGTTGTTTTGTTGTTGTTGTTGTTGTTGTTGTTGTTCCGTCGCCGTCGTCGTCGTCGTCGTCCCGCGTGCGTCGTGTGGTGTTGTCGCGTTGTGGTTGTGGTTGTGGTTGTGGTTGTGGTTGTGGTTGTGGTTGTGGTTGTGGTTGTGGTTGTGGTTGTGGTTGTGGTTGTGGTTGTGGTTGTGGTTGTGGTTGTGGTTGTGGTTGTGGTTGTGGTTGTGGTTGTGGTTGTGGTTGTGGTTGTGGTTGTGGTTGTGTTGTTGTGGTTGTGGTTGTGTTGTTGTTGTTGTTGTTGTTGTTGTTGTTGTTGTTGTTGTTGTTGTTGTTGTTGTTGTTGTTGTTGTTGTTGTTGTTGTTGTTGTTGTTGTTGTTGTTGTTGTTGTTGTTGTTGTTGTTGTTGTTGTTGTTGTTGGTTGTTGTTGTTGTTGTTGTTGTTGTTGTTGTTGTTGTTGTTGTTGTTGTTGTTGTTGTTGTTGTTGTTGTTGTTGTTGTTGTTGTTGTTGTTGTTGTTGTTGTTGTTGTTGTTGTTGTTGTTGTTGTTGTTGTTGTTGTTGTGTGTGTGTGTGTGCATGTGTGTGTGTGTGTGTGTATGTGTGTATGTGTGTATGTGTGTATGTGTGTATGTGTGTATGTGTGTATGTGTGTATGTGTGTATGTGTGTATGTGTGTATGTGTCTTTGCCTGTGTGTGTGTCCGTGTGGTTGTGTTTGCGTTTTTGAGCGTTTGTGCTTGCATTTGCGTTTGTCGCAAAATCCAATTTCCCGTTGATTGCCTCTGGTGTGGAATGTCTTGCTGGCCGCCTTTATATTTTTTTCAAATTGACACTGCGTGCTGCCAGCTGGAATCACGCCGTTTTGCGGCCAAGCCGCTTTTCATTGCGGGCCGCCTGCTTCGATGACATCTTGGGCGCCCGCAGCGCCAAACGGACGCAACGAAGCACAGGCTTGGCTTCTGTGCTTGAGTTGGAACGGCTAAAGAATGCCATCTCATGCCATGGCCACAACACGGCCTTTGGAGCCCCCAAGCAACCTGGGCTTTTGGCTGCCCAGTTTAATCTGTAACATGGCACACCAGCACTGCTCAGGGTGTTGC